CATCGAAATGAAAAATAAAAATTCGCATTGACATGACTAAAATACCCTTCAGTTGACACTGGACTTGGAGGGCCACTTGTAGTAATTTGAGGGAGATCCCGACACCAATTTGGACATTTTACAATTCGGCGTTTCTAAGCTGTTGACCGCCGGGATATTCGTAGCCTGTTCCCGGTCTGGTGTACTTATATTTTTAAAACGGCACAAAACCATACGTATTATTATCTTACACATTCACATTCAAATTTATAAACTTATAAAGTTAAGGGATGGCTAATGTTAACCGACTAAATTAATTCATAATCTTGGACAAGTTAAAGTTAATAGAACCTCGTTTCTGATCCAACCAAACATAATGAAATTTCGACCCTAATTAGTTCCCTCAATTATGCGGCATAAGTAATGCCCTGAATTAACTCTGTCACTGTCCAGAAAAATAGTAGCAACACATTTACAAATCTATTCATTAGAGCAGGTTCGACTAAACCTGCATCAATGTTCAACAGTTTGGAAAAAAGCAAATATTCTACAAGAATCTCACAATATCAAGAACGAGGCTTGTTCCAGGTCATTTCCGAGAAACCATAAGACGTATATATACAAATAATTTGGGAGCGAAAGATGATCATTTATACAATAATCTTGGTTGAATAAACTAACAATGTTATATATGCAGAGAAACAATCTGGGTTTCACTTTACATAACCACATAACAAAGAAACCCCCTACAACATACAAACAAACAAAAACCCCCTGAAGCCGTGTTATAGAATACACAAATATACAATCTGATCCCCAGTCATAAATTGGGGATTGATATGCATAACAAGATGTGTGAGATAGAGTTAGAAACTGGTTACAATGAGAACCTTACCGTGTTTCTACAAAATCTCCCCGTGTCTGAATCCATTGTCTTCACAGTCCGTGTTTGAATCCAAACCACATGGAGAATCATACCATTTGGAGTTTTCTTGATAGAAGCTATCGACTTGTATTCCAACTAGCCCTACATCTGTTACTAAACCTTCATTGTGTCTCATCGGTTTTGTTAGCTTAGAATCTTCACAATTCAGAATGCTCTTCTCATCAAAGTCATTGCACTTTAACCATTTCTCAGGCTTACATGTTTCAGACAAGAGATCCTTTGGACTTCTACACCCTGATGGTGGCCGTATCTGTTCCCAAGGAACAACATCATCAAGGCTCCTCCCAAAACTGTCCTCATCATCTTCAATAAGTTTTGCATCCTTCCCATCTCCATATAGATGCTCATGGTGATGGTCACTCCAATGTGCTAAATCGTTATCTCCAACAAGTATTTCGTCGGAGTGTGCCTTGTCAGAAAGCAAGCCCGTTGTTCCCGCAACACCCTCATCACCGATATTCCTGATCTTGTTGAGCATCTCATACAACTCTCTGGACACTGAACCCAACATCTCTTGTGGAATCTTCCCAATCTTTCCTTCTAGAGTGCCAAGTTCACTCCTTAGTTCCTGCACCTGATGCAAGACAGCAAAATGCATATCTCCACCATCCTCCTTCCCAATCAATCCAATCCCTTCATTTTCTAAGTCTTCCCTCACTCCATAAACTGTATCCTGATCCACCAAAAACCCCTTATGACCAACAACCCGATGCATGATTCTCGCATTTCCGTCCATTGCCCCAGGCTCGTGTCCGGAATGGACAGCGTAAAGCTTAAAAACTGCTGTTCCTTCTTCCTGATATACAAAAGTTTTGTCCTTTTCATTGTAGTTAGTAATGGGCACAATAGCTCTAATCCTAAAGCCACAACCGCATCTCTTTGATTGATAAGGCTCCCTCTTCAGAATCCTAGACTTCTTTATTGAGGCAGGCTCTCCAGCTCTATGACAAGCATAATCCTTAACCTCTGCCATAAATGGCTTATACCTAATATACTTTTGCCTAATGCAGAGCACAACCTTATGCTTAGCAGCCAATTGCTGCAACCTATCGGGAACATCCTTGGCAGGCACATCAAAAGACTCTGTATACTCAAATCGACGCCGTTTGTTCCTCGAACCAGAACCAGTGACAGCATTGCAGATAGCGCATGCCGCTACACAAACCCTAATAAAGCTCTCGGGAATCCCATAGAGCTTAGCACCCACGGTCCAGACTTGCTTAATCCGCTCAATAGTCTCTTTAGGCCCTAGGTGTTTCAAATCACCATCACCGTGGAATCCCATGACTATATCTTGCCACTGGTTAATGTGGGAGACGAATTGCTGGGGATTGTTTTTAAAGCAGAGAAATTCGTTACCGGAGGCTGGATCGAGGCGTGCGGTGAGCTTGTCTTGGATCCGTTTCCAGGCCGTGAGGTACGCCGTGTCTTCGTTTCGATCCTTCCAGACGGAGCGCCATGACTTGAGGACGGACCTTGGCGTGGCGATGCGGATCTCCGCCGGCGTAGCGAGACGGCCTTCTCGGAGACATCGGATCATGAGAGAGTGAGAATCTGCGTTGAATGTGTAGAACTGAGATGAGATATGAGGCTCGGGGCTGATAAAAGTATCAGCTCTTCCTTCCCTCAAAACCCTAGGGTTTGACGAAGCAGCAATTTTGGGGGTTTCGGCACGGGGATGAGACGCATCGTCTTGTTCGTCGGAGGAGTGATCCGGGGAGTCTCCGGATGTAGAGGAACGGAAGAGAACGAATTCCGGTAGAGAAAACGCGGGATCGTCTTCGGGATTGTGGTGGGGGTGGTGGTCGTGTTGGTGAATGGACGGTTGCGATCGAAGGATTGTGTCTGTCGGGCCAAGATCATGATGGTGGAACAGATCTTCTTCGGTTTTGTGAGGATTCATTAGGAGGATGAAGAAGAAGCAGAGGAAGAAGATGGAGGCGACGATGGAGAGAGAGAGAGAGAAAAAGAAGGATTTTTGAGTAATTTTATGTGTTTTTTTGTTTTATTTAAGTTTTTCAATTATTTGGCATTTTAAGAAGCGCAGGCTTGGTCTGACAGAACTGATAAGTCCGAAGGGCATTTTATTTTTATTTTATTATATCTCGTGTCTTTTTTTTCTTTTTCTTTTCTAAGTCTTCTCGTCTTCTTCCTCTCAATTTCTGTTTCCACATAAATGGTCTTTCCTTCTTATTTTCATAAATATCAGAATGGTTCGTCTGTCTTTTTTCCTGAGCTCTTCTCGTTTTTTGGTATCCAAACTCCTGATAATTTTTATGAACTATGAATTATAAGTTGTGGGTAGTAACCTCCAACCGCAAGGATAAAAGAGATACCGCTTCCTTTGTATTTGTTAACATTACAAACGCAGTAACAAATAATAAAGCTTGTTTTTATGATATGCTGAGTGGAGTTAAAAGTTAAATCTCACAAACAACTGAAAATGCATACTTGCAAGTTGCAACAACAAAAAATAAAGAACAAATCTAACTTGTTATTGGAAGCAAAATTAAGTTATCATTTGTTATTAATTTATCTAAATCATGTACCTTATTGTAACCTGATTGGAATGCGTTTTATACATATCAAACTGATGTATTTGCATACTTTTACAAACCGAAATCTAGGTTAATCACTTGATACATGAAAATCTAAAGTTTTAACCATGTCGAACATCCAAAAATACTTTAGGCTTAAGGATAACGTTTATTCGACGATATAAAGTTCTAAACATAATTTTCTAAAGGGTTATGCTAACAAACTAACAATTACGTATTTACATAAAACGAACGCTACATTTACAACTCCACATTATCTGTCCACTTAATAAGGTCTTAAAATTCTTCAAACTTATCCGAACTATATCGTAAATATTTTATGTTCGAATGCTTCTGTATGGACTTAAACAGTTAACAGTACATGTACCTCCTAACACAAATGAATCAATCATGCATACGAAATCGTTTAAAAATGTTTTATTTTATTAACTTTCGTAGGTAGTCAATGTCGGATAATACCAAAAGGTATGTCAAAATATCGGTATTTGCTGGATGGCCATTCGCCAAAAACAAATGATAAAAGACAAACACAATATTTTACGAAGGAGAGATATTTTAATCTCATTTGATAGAGCAAAAATAGTGTCATGTTGAAACTAGAAAAATAGTATATCAACTAGTCCTAGGCATTCGGATATTCGGTGCGGTTTCGATTCAGAACCAATCGGTTTTGGATATTTCGAGTAGAGAAAGTTATGATCTATCGGATATTTTTATAAATATCGGTTCGGGTTTGGTATCTTTATTTCAGTTCGGTTCCAGTTCGGATAATCGGATCCGGATCTTTTGCCTCAAATTTTTAATTTGATTCACACTTTTTTAATAACAAAAATTCAAAAATATATATATCAAAACTTAAAAATATACCCAAAAGTCCTAAAAATAAAGAAAATATATCTGTAAAACCAGAAATATATACCAAATATCAAAAATATCAAAAAAAAAAAACTAATATTTAGAAGGATATATAATTATATTTTGGATAATTCGGGTATCCAATCGGTTCTCGGTTTGGTACTAGTTCGGTTCCGGTTCTTCGGGTATAAGAGTTTAAAATCTATCGGATATTTTAAAAAATTTCGGTTCGGATTCGGTACTTCTATTTCGGTTCGTTTCCAGTTCGGATATTCGGATCCGGGTTTTTTCTCAGGCCTAATGTCAACATAATGATGGGAATATGGGATAGAATATGAAAAGATCTGATAATTTATAATTTATGTGTGTTTTAATATATTTTGAATTGATTATCCGGTTACCATTTTTTATTTATTTTTTAGGATCAATATGGAGCCAAGTATAATTCAAAAAATCGGAACAGCTCCTTTTAAAATTCGAAGGCTTTATTGTTCCTTACGAAATCTGGTCCGTTAAAAAAGAGGAGAAAAGTACAAAAAGGAAAGACGATTTTAATACAACGGCTCAGATAAAACCACGTCATCAAAAGTCGTGAGCCTCGGATCGTAACGGACCCTCCTCCCGCTCCCTCTTCAAATTTTGATTTGTACTTCCGTTACCCTGACGAATTCCCAACACTTATAAACCCTAATTTGGCTCTCGAAAGCGTTGATCACTTCTTTCTCCAACTGCCCAAACTTCTTATTCTTGGCGCTGATCTTTGATCGAAGGTACGTTATATTTCTCACTTTTCTCTTGTAAATGTCAAAAAATCTTGACTTTTTCATGACTGTAGCCATTGCGATTTTTCTCAATTATCTGGTTCTTGTATAATCTGGATTTGGAGTTTAGACGACGCAGAGACTTACGAAACTATTCATAGTCGACTTTGATAGTACGAAACTCGCTTTGCGTTCTCTGATTTCATAGTTAGTACGGAACAAATTTCACGGTTCATGGTATTCAAAATCGGAAGCTTGATTGGGAACTTTTTGTCTGCAGGTTTTAATCACCATGATGCGGAATTCAGCGGAGCAGTTTTCGCGAATCGAGACTACATGTGGAATCTTGCTTCGCCAATTACAGGTTTGATATTATTCACATTCTCGTCGCCAATCTTTTGTTTTATTTCTTGGCTTTGATGTAAAACTTTACCATTTCTGATATCAGGAAATATGGAATGAAATGGGAGAGACTGAGGATGAAAAGGATGCTGCTTTGGCTGACATTGAGAAGGAGTGTCTCTCGGTTTATAAACAAAAAGTTGAAGAAGCTAGTAAGTGTAAAGCAAATCTGCTGAAAGAAATCGCTATGGGGAGAGCAGAAATTGCAGCCATTGGTTCTTCTATGGGTGGACAAGAAATTCATGTAAGTGTTTTAATAACTTCTCTTCTTTCTGTGTGTAAGTTATGGCACATACATAATGATACGTTGTTCCCATTTCTTGTGCTTTTTTTTTTTATTCTTGCAGTCTAACAGCAGGGTGGGAGAAAACTTGAAGGAGGAGCTTGAGAACGTTAATGTGCAATTAGAGGGACTGCGCAAAAAGAAAACCGAGAGAATGGATCGGTTTAAGGAAGTTATCGATCAGTTACTCACGTTGTCATTTCAACTTGGAAATCCAACAGATTATCTGAAGAAGTTTGCTGCAGAAGAGACCGATATTTCTCTTCAGAAGTTGGAGGAATTGCGTAGGCAATTGGCTGAACTTCAGAATGAAAAGGTTGGCTTTACTTTTTTCATGTTTGATCTCAAGATACTTATAAGATTCTCTGCATCTATTTTCCTTTCTGACATTTTTGACTCTTTTCGAATTATAGAGTAAAAGATTGGAAGAGGTAGAACGTTTACTGGAAACGCTGAACTTGTTGTGCTCGGTTCTTGGTGAAGATTTCAAGGAAATGATAAGAGGGATACATCCATCTCTGGTTGATTCCAACACCAGAGATGTGAGCAGAAGTACTCTTGATAAGTTGGATATGATGATTGAGAATCTACGAGAGGTCAAGTTACAGAAAATGCAGAAGGTTAGAAGTCTGAACTCTTTTTGATACGTAGTGAACAAAATTTCTATGTGCTTAAGGTTTGACTATTATCACTTGTTTTTCCAGGTTCAAGATCTTGCAGTCTCTCTGTTGGAGCTCTGGAATCTGCTGGACACGCCTGCGGAAGAGCAAAAGATATTTCACAATGTCACCTGCAGCATTGCTCTGTCCGAGTCTGAAATTACTGAGGCCAACATACTTTCTGTTGCTTCTATTAAACGCGTGAGTGCACAAGGAAAAAGAAAAAAGCTTGCTGCGTTTTCTCCTATATTGGTAGTTTATACGTTTGTAACAGTATAGGGACCATCTTTTTTATAATGTGGGTTTGTTTTTACAGGTTGAGGATGAAGTCATTAGGCTAAGCAAGCTCAAGACAACTAAGATCAAAGAGGTGATCCTTAGAAAGAAGCTCGTGCTTGAGGAGATATCAAGGAAGATGCACATGGCCCCCCAAGTTCTGAAATCAGAAAACTTTTCAGTTGAAGCTATAGAATCTGGTAATCCATTTGTAGAAAAATGTGCTGAATAATAGATCACTTTGATGAGCAACTCAAGAAATGTATGCTAATAATAGGGTTCCTTTCATCTTTTAGGTTTCAAGGATCCTGAACAGTTGTTAGAGCAAATTGACTCCGAGATTGCAAAGGTCAAAGAGGAAGCTTCAAGGAGGAAGGAGATTCTTGAAAAAGTGGAGAAATGGATGTCAGCATGTGAAGAAGAGTCTTGGCTCGAAGAATACAATCGGGTAAGACGTATAAATCTCAAGCTATTTTGTCTGCTTCAGCATTTTTTCTAAACATTGTTGGATTCTTAGGATGATAATAGGTACAATGCCGGAAGAGGAGCTCATCTTACATTGAAGCGTGCAGAAAAAGCCCGTATTCTTGTCAATAAACTTCCTGGTAACATTCTTGATCCCTAGATTATATTACAAAACCCACAACCCATAACTTTGATTTCCCTGAAACTTCCTGATATATTTTTTCCATTGATTTCGGCTTCTACTGATGCAGGGATGGTGGAGGCGTTGACCGCCAAAGTCAATGCTTGGGAGGATGAAAGAGGGAATGAATTCTTATATGATGGTGTAAGTGTCTTTACTGATCAATGTCTCTGTTCGACATACTTATCAATATCAACATCTTTACACAAAGACATGTTCCCTTGAAAACTGTTCAGGTCCGAGTTTTATCGATGCTTGAGCAGTACAAGACTCTATGGGAAGAGAAAGAGTTTGAAAAACAGAGACAAAGAGTAAGGGAAACTAGTTTTTCAAGTAACCAAACTTTTTAGCATTTGAGCGCAAAAAAAACAACGTTAGCAATTTGGCATTGTTGTTTTTTCTATTTCAGGATCTGAAGAAACTCAATGGACAACTCATCACAGAACAGGAAGCTCTTTACGGGTCAAAACCAAGCCCAAGTAAAAGCGGAAAGAAACCTCTGAGAACTCCCGTAGCTGCTGGCATGAACAGAAAACTATCCCTTGGTGGTGCCATGCTTCAAGGCATGAAGCCTGAGAAGGCAACAACATTCAATAGCAAAAAGTATAATTTCTTTGACCAGAATGCTAATCGTAGAAGAGATTCAACTCTTCCTAATCCTTCAGGTACATTATAATAACACAAGAGTATGGTTTACAATAGATAGATATATATGTTAAGAGAATTGTGTCGTTATGTGTAGGGAGGAGGAACTCAGAGCTTCCTGGTCAACGTCTTAGATCAAAGAACGTTTCGGCTGCAGGAAAAGCTGTGACGAACAAAGGGAGATCTCCGATGCTTAGGAAGCCTCTTTCACCTGTTACTTCCAACATCTTGAATTCCCCAGAAGATCACAAGGATGCTTACACAACAAAGTCATCTTCTATAGAGGAGAGAATCTTGACACCTACGACCAACGAAGTGAACAGAAAACCGGCGGTTCCTATCTCTGTACCTACCACTCCGGCAGCTTCAGTCGCTATGACGGAGGTGACAACGCCGTTCACTCCTTCGTTCGCGGCAGTGGAAAAGAGGATGGGTGAAGAAGACGTTGTCGAGTATTCGTTTGAAGAGGTTAGGGCCGGTTTTGCTAAACCGAGCTAGAAAAATGGATCTGGTTCACTGCTTTTGTAGAAATCTCAAACCAGAGGTACTTCGTTGGATGAAAAAAATTGACAGCAAAACACATTTTGTATTTTGCGTTTTTTCTTTCTCACTTGAATAGTTTGACATTTTGCGTTTGTTATTTCCCGCTTGAATTCACATTTTCTCTCACTTTAATACGTACATTTCCCACGGTTGTAAAACTTTTGCGTTTAGAAAATCCAACCTGGGTGTACGGTTTCGATTACTGTACTTTTTGTGTTTTATAAAACGTTCAACAATTCGTCTAGATTTTTTCTAAGATTCAAGAGTTGATTATAAGCTTACAAGGCAATCAGTACTTAAACTGGTCCACATCTTCAAATCTGTAAGCTGCTTAAAAGTACATAGATTGATTCGGATGTGTCTAAATGATAAGGGATAAACCTAGACATATAGCAAAAACACAAAACAATCCTTAGCTACAACACAACTACAAACGTTTTGGTCTATTCGGGGATCAGAAGCATTTCCGGTGAACCACCGATGGTCCAGTCTCGTCGTAGTCAGCTTTAGTAACATGCTGATTCTGTGGAAACACCACTTTGGCTAGTATTGCTCCTCCTACCCAAGCCGAATACATCCCCAAATTCTCTGGCATATAGTCAGGCGGTTTCACCAGCGTTGGCCTGATTGCAGATGAGCACAAGTTTGCTTCTTTCTGAAATCTGCTTTCGAATCCTGTCAATAGCCATTGTACAGAAACCCTTCAGTTTTCACGCCCAAAAACATCAACACACACACACAATTGTAAGCTTTTATTACCTGTCATGGAGGTTGTACCACCACAAAGTACAGTGTTCTCCAAGAGTTGACGGTGGTTCTCAGATGAGACTGTGGAGATAATCCGGACAAGCTGTTCAACGATTCCGTGCTCCTCTAATCCCAATATCGATGGCTGAAACAGAGATTCACCAACAGAGTATCTTTCTCGCCCAATGTTTATCACCTATAAGAACATGATATTGTTGTTATACAAGGCAATGGACGTCGTACAATCTTAATTATTCGTCACAGAAACCTGTCCATCAGGAAGTGTATGCTGCTCGATTTCACAGTATTTGGTTTTGTCGTAAGCAATCTCGTCCTCAGCACAGTTTGCATACTGCTCCTTCAGTTTTTCAACATCAGACATGCTGAGATTGATTGACGGGTTGGACTTTCCAAGCTCTTGGGCCAATAATTTTGTTAGTTCGGTTCCACCGAGCTCAAACCTTTTCGAGGCAATGTGCTGCACAGCACCTTCAAGAACTGGAGCAATATCTGGTTACACCAAGAAAGAGTCACAATTAACAACTATGAGACAGACAAATCAGTAAAGTTTGAAACATCAAAACATAACATGATAATTCCTGATAATAAACCCAGCTACAAAGACAAGGAATCGCAAATGTACTGCAACGTACAGGACACAATTATCTGGTATACAAAATGCTTCAGGATGTGGAAAAGGGTCTGTTAAGGCATAAAACGACTCAACACGAAATCTTGGACATACATCACAATATTTAGGCACTTGACGACAAAAACATTAAAGAGGAGAAGATGAGAAAAGACACACATAGTAAGAGCAGATTATTAACAAAGACAAGTTAATATACCTATCTTCCCATGACCAATATCAACAGTGCAACCGGAGATCCGTCCAACAGCATAAAGGGATAACACTGCCTGCTCTGATGCATAAAATCCAGAGACATTGAAAGTTTCAAACATCAATTGCACCAATTGCTCCCTAATAGCCTGCTCCAAAACAAACATTTGCAGAGCAAATTAGGTCTCCAAACATTAAAACAACAGGACTGTACTACTTAAATGTGGTACTACTAAGAACAAAATGGGTTCTTTTAATCATCCAATGGAAAAAAGATTATGGAAATGAAAAGAGACGCCAAAAGAAATCTAGTTTATCCTTTCGGTTAAGAAACAGTCGAGATACGGACCTTGGGAGTACATAATGGATCTGTGAAAAGTATATTGCCTTCGTTTCCCTCCTCCCATCCAAGGCCAGTGTAGACAACATATCGCAATAGATCCTCCATAGCATCCCAATCTTTGATAAGCCCCCTTTCAATAGGGTCAAGAGTGACATCCTCAAAAACAGTTGTTGAGATATCAGCTGAAGAAGACCCATCATCAACCATTCGTTTCATTTGAGATGGAATTATCATTGCAGGGGACTGGTCAGGAATCGCTGCTCCTGCTTTCAGGAGCTTCGAGCCAGCGTCAACAACCAGGGCTTCCATTATTCTATACACACCTCAAAAACCCTAAATTCCCAACTTCCACAAATGCAACTAGTCAGGGAAACTAGGACGAGAAAATGAGAGAAAGAACTAGAGTTGAAGAAAGAAAAGAGGGAGACAGAGAGACAGAAAGAGAAAGAATTGTTCTTTTGAGGAACCCACCTTCAAATGAATCCTGACAGAGTACTCTGTGACTTAGTAGCACAACATCAGACTTCTCACAGCTCCCTCAAAATTAGGGTTTCTAACGTCACAGCGAACAACTAGATCTCGACTAATCTAGGGTAAAGTTTCTACTTTCTACTTTCTACTACAATGGAACGGGAACAACTATGACTATCAGACTCTAATACGGAAATGGAAGAAGCTTACGAGTGCGAGAGACGGAGAGAGAGATCGAAAAGAACAAACGGCGTAATTTTTTCTTCTCAGGAATTGGAAGCCAAATTAAGGCCCATTAGAAAGCCCATTATGATATTGTTAAAAGTCCATTTAATCCCAGCTGTAATCGTCGTCTCCACCTCCCTTTTCTTGTTTACAAAGCCAAACAGAGCTAATAAGATCCCAAAAATAAAATTTCTTGAAATCGAAAACAAACTAGGTGTTTTTTTTGCTCTCTTTCAAATCCACATCGCCATGACGAAGCAGCACGCCAACTGGTCGCCGTATGACAACAATGGAGGGTAGGGATCGTCTCTCTTTGATTTCTTCGACTTGTGTCTTCTTTTCTGATTTACTGTTTGAGCGTCTGTATTACAGTTCACTGCTCTGTATTCATCGGTGTATTGTTTTTCCAGAACATGTGTGGCCATCGCTGGATCGGATTACTGCGTTATCGCCGCCGATACCCGGATGTCTACCGGTTACAGTATCCTTAGTCGCGATTACTCAAAATCCATAATCTGTAAGTACACCCACTTTTGTTCTGTCAAATTCCCCACTTTTGGTTCTTTGGAGCAGTATCTCTGTGCTGGAAACAGTTCACTTTCAAGCTTATTAGGGTTTTTGTTCCTTTTCTCTGGGTTTTTGTTTTTTTGCAATCGATGGTTCGTAGATCTGGAGGAAACCATCGTGTAATTCAGAGATAGATTTGGCTTGAGATGAAGTAGATTTTCTGTCATTTCCCAAGACTTATAAAAATGTACTTGTGATCTTTGAGTACATGGTATCTCTTGTAATTACACTTTGTATTCTGTAATCCGGCTCAATACTTGGCTTATTTGTGTTCTTACGTTTTATATACAGTGTGTGTAGTTCTTCGAATTATAGAGTATGCAAACTCTATAAATTCTAACGATAGAATTCTGATGTGTTTTCATATGTTTTAACGTGTAAGACCGTTCTTAAATTGTTCTCGTCTTCTAATCCTTCAGAGCAGATAAGGCTGTGCTTTCTTCCTCGGGATTTCAGGCTGATGTGAAAGCATTGCAGAAGGTTCTCACATCCAGACACATGGTGAGGTTTCCTTTGTTCGTTTAAACAAATTTGTTTCTTCCCTTGCATATATCGGATTTCTTTGAAAAGATAAAAGACTTGTGTAAGAGTATTTTCAATGTGTTTGGTGTCGTGCAGATTTATCAGCATCAGCACAACAAGCAAATGAGCTGTCCTGCAATGGCCCAGCTTCTCTCTAACACGCTTTATTACAAGCGGTTTTTCCCTTACTACGCCTTTAATGTTCTAGGAGGGCTTGACGAGGAAGGTAAAATGCTCTCTTCTTTTTTCATTCTGGCTTGCCATTTTACTTTGACTGTAGCAGGAGGTAAATTGTGTGATCTTCCTCTTGAAAATATTCAGGGAAAGGGTGTGTCTTCACTTATGACGCTGTTGGATCATATGAGAAGGTTGGATACAGTGCTCAAGGTTCTGGTTCCACACTCATCATGCCATTCCTTGACAACCAGCTCAAGTCTCCAAGCCCACTTCTGCTACCTGCACAGGTTTGTTGATATCCTTCGTTTTTTTGGCTTTACGCATTATAAGAATCATTCAGTTGCTTATTTTTCGACTTCTGTTTCTGTAGGATTCGATTACACCCCTTTCAGAAGCTGAAGCAGTTGACCTGGTCAAAACTGTTTTCGCATCTGCCACAGAGAGGGATATCTACACTGTAAGTTTTTCCATTTTGTGTCTTCGTTAGTCACCACTCTAGCAAAAGCTCGCCTATTTGCTCACACCATCTGCATCTAGTTGAAGATATCACCAAAAACATTTCGCTGAATCTATCCTAGCATTTTCTTGAATTTTTTGCCTGACTTGTGCTTTCTGGATTGTTTGCTTGTAAAAGGGGGACAAGCTCGAGATTATGGTTCTTAAGGCTGATGGTGCAAGGAGGGAGGTCATGGACCTGAGGAAAGATTGAGCTACTATCGTGCGTATGAGTGTTGGAAACACTCTTCTTACCTCTGGTTTTCTTATTCTCAACATTAGGCTCCCTCGGTTATCTTGAACTGCTCTGTGGGTTTTATGTTTTGCTTAATCATGACTCATGTCGGAGGTTTCTGCAAAAGTGTTTCCTCATGTATGAATCACTCAAGTCCTTGTGTCAAACACTGTTTCTCTCATTTATGACAATGTTTGTTTTTACATATGGCATGTGCATGAATATCATCTTACACATAACAGACTACAAGAATATGGCAATTCTTTTTAATCATAATCAAAAGCTGTTCTCCGATTCCCATCCCTTCTTCTCTAGCTCTTGTCGCAGTGCCTCCATAGATTAAAAGAATAAAAAATGAAAAGCAGATTAACCCTTAGTATTTAGTCGGTTGCATTATCATGGATATTTCACGATCCAAGTTCTTACCTTTATTCGCTTTCTGTTCACATCAAAGTCGAAGTTCCCTTTACGGGATGCAGATCGATACTCTACAGTCGACTTCTTCCCCGGAAGAAACAAGAATTCAACATCATCTACTAACTATCAAGGGCAAAACCACAAACAACAAAGGGTTTAGCTATTGTGATTACGAGAGACAATAGAAAACTTACTCTACTTACCCCTAAGATTGGACTTTCATATTCCACATGAACATAGTCATCCTTCTTCTCCACAATCCGAGGGGTGAATTTGTCCGGTTTCGTCGACTTAATCTGTAACAATGGTGATAAAATCTCCGTAACAACAAGTTAACCTATATAATATGTGTTCAAGGTTCTTACCACATTAAGAAGTTCTTTCATTGCAACTTCTCTGTTCACAGGTGTTTTCCTTCCTCCATTATAGTTCCTGCCCACCAGGAATAAGTGTTTGATGACAAAATCTTCAAAGCAAAAGAGCAAAATCTGAATACAAAGCTCTTTGATTTACCATGGTGGAGCATAATGTACTTGATCAGTGATACTCTCCGAAGTGGATATACAGTTATTTGTCGCAGGACATAGAGCCAACCTCTCATTCTTCTGTATTCCAAGATAATCCGGTTTTTCCCCACTGAACCAATCATAAACATTTCATCATCTAATTCGCTGCTGTTACCATGACCACACGTAAGCCGAGATTTCCGGTGAAAAAAACGTACCTGAGCTGGAAAATAGCTCCGATCATAGCTAATTCACTGCTCCTAAGAATTATCTCTCTTCCAGTTTCATACAAAGAAATATTGAAATTAGTGACTTGGTTCCATCGAGAACGAAGAAAAGAGAAAGCGAGAGAGAGTACCTTCGACCAATTGGCTTTGGATGATTGTCATCTGAAATCGAAGCAATGATATGTCGACTACTGGAAAAAACATTCTTCCGGCATTTACGGCGACTCATGCGGTACAAGCAGGTGGTAGGTGACGCCATGGAAGCCATCTTCAGAAGCTCTGAGTCTCTTCTTTACTCTTTGAAATGTGAACTAAAAGAAGAGGGCTTCATGGTCTTTTTCATCTCAGTCTATTGTCCACCCAATGGGCCAATTTTTTTGCATTCGTAAAACAGCACGCAGTACGTTCTTAAACGTCACGTAGTTTTAAAAGTCTTAGTAGTAAATCGGTAAAGATAATAATATTTAATATTGTTTTAGAGGTCTTACCAGCAAGCCCGTCTAGCTCAGTTGGTAGAGCGCAAGGCTCTTAACCTTGTGGTCGTGGGTTCGAGCCCCACGGTGGGCGATTAGTATTTTTATAATTTTCCATAAGTCATTCTCTCTAATTTTTTTTGGGTTCTAGTTTAAGAAAAAGAGCGAAATTACAATTTCAACGGCAACTCGCAAAATGCATACGCATTTTAGTATTGTGGTAGAGCGCAAGGCTCTTAACCTTGTGGTCGTGGGTTCGAGCCCCACGGTGGGCGATTAGTATTTTTATAATTTTCCATAAGTCATTCTCTCTAATTTTTTTTGGGTTCTAGTTTAAGAAAAAGAGCGAAATTACAATTTCAACGGCAACTCGCAAAATGCATACGCAATAATAAAAGTAAAGGAAAAAAATCAGATTATTATACAATTTGGAAGCTGAAAGACACTAATTGACTCAAAGTCATTAAATTACAAAGCTGTATTTCGTCTGCAATTTCTTGTTAGCTCCAAAAGCGGAAAATAAATCCAAGAAGGAGAAAAAGTCTCATTCTTCAGGCTCCATTTTCTTCATAGTCCATCCCATGTTCATGGGGTCTGCATCTGGGAATTTATCACTCTAATTGTATTCCTTAAACCCCTTTGATTTTGTTTCCAGATAAAAACCCTAGCAAGCACAAGACCTCCTTAGTTTCCCCATAAACATCTACTTTCTATTCTTGGCCTTGAATTTATCATTCTTCACTACCCGTCTTCCTCTTGTCTCCAGCTGCAAGAAATCGACCCTCAAGGAGAGAACCTCTTGATATTCAGTAGAAACGGGTTTCTTCTTACTAATTCTGTAATCGATCAGTGCTTTTGACTATGCATAGATCTGGTACTGCAATGGCGTGGAACGTATTCAAATTCTGTACGGCCTTACGAGGTCTCGGATCGATCATGATCCTTTTGGTCCTCGGTGTTGTCGGTGTTACCTATTACGCTGTCGTTTTGACTAATTATGGACCGGCACTATCTCAAGGCGGGCTTGATTCGCTTGCTGCTTTTAGTATCCTAATCCTCTTCCATTTACTAGTAAGTAGAATCTTTAATCTTTCTTTCGATATGGGGTTTTCTCTTGGTCATTGGTTTAGATTATTGGTTAAAGCTTCATACTTTAGTCAATTCGATCAACAAAGTTTGGTTCTTTTTGCTTTAGATGTGTGGTCTCGTTCTCTTTTAGATGGAGGTTTTGTTCATTTAGCCAAGAATGTGGATTATTTGCTGCAGCTAGGGATGCTTTTGTGGAGCTATTTCTCAGTTGTTTTTACTGATCCTGGTGTTGTGCCTCCTAATTGGAGACCAGCTATTGATGAAGAAAGAGGTGAATCTGATCCGTTAAATAGTTTGGAGTTTGTCGGTTTACAGCCTGATCTTTCGAACCCGAGGATTCGGTTTTGTAGAAAATGCAATCAACCAAAACCTTCCCGTTGCCATCATTGTTCTGTTTGTAAGTTTTCTCAGATTCTCTGTTCTAAACCATTTGTATAGATTCTTGAAATTGAATCGTGAGGTTGATTGTGTTACATCGATTCAGGTGGACGGTGTGTGTTGAAGATGGATCACCATTGCGTTTGGGTTGTTAACTGTGTTGGAGCACTGAATTATAAGTATTTTCTTCTTTTCTTGGTAAGTTTGTTTTGCACTAGTGTTTATAGAATCTTCAGCTTTAATCTAGTCCTCTTGTGACAACTTTTTGTGTGTTTAAAATGATGCAGTTTTACACATTTTTAGAGACGACTCTTGTGACTTTGGTTCTAATGCCGCACTTCATAGCCTTCTTTAGTGATGAAGAAATACCTGGAACCCCGGGCACTCTTGCAACTACTTTTCTTGCATTCGGTATGTTCAGACATTCATTATACGTAGACAGTCGTTCGTGTGTTTGGTTTCATCTATTAAGTAATCTCACCTTGTTTCATCATGCAACAGTTTTGAACTTAGCATTTGCTTTGAGCGTAATGGGTTTCTTAATCATGCACATTTCGTTGGTGGCTGGCAATACCACAACTATTGAGGTAATTCATTTTTAAATTTTTTTTTTCTTGAAAGTAATCTTTAAAGTTAAGGTACTTCCATGGCCAAAGCTCAAAGTTTATTTTGCATAAATGAGAGAGTCTTTAGAGTTTTGGTGCATCCCATAGGTAAAGTGTTGAGCTTCCCTTTGCATAAATGAGGATATCGGTCTTGATGCTCTTAACAGTTTCTGTGCATACCCTGGTTAAATCTCTGAGCTTCTTTATTTGGACTCTTTACATTTTCTCCGGGCATTCCATAGATAAAGCATTTAGCGTTCTTTGCTTAAAAGAGAATTGGGTATATTCTCATTTCATTCATCTCTCTTGTCTCAATTCTCATCACAACTTTCTTGGTGTTGAGTCTTGAACAGGCATATGAGAAGAAAACCAGTACAAAATGGCGGTATGATCTTGGTAGAAAGAAAAACTTTGAACAGGTTAGTTATTTAAGTGATGGCTTTATATCTTCTTCCATCTTAATATATATCACTTCAAAGTTACAAGTTCTTTTCTCTTCTCCCTCACGTTAATGGCTTTTATTTGGGGATTCACTTTTTAGGTATTTGGAATGGATAAGAAATACTGGTTCATCCCAGGATACTCAGAAGAAGATCTAAGGCGAATGCCGGAGCTGCAAGGACTTGAATATCCTTCGAAGCCCGACTTCGATTCCCAGTAATTCTGAAGAAGATGACTTTGATCATCATCATCGTCCCATGTAAAACAACAATACGTAGAAAACAGAGAGACCCTGGACATGACATTTGAAAAGAGAAATCTACTAACTTGAAGAATGATGCTTTCACTCTTAGCACGGTCTATTGTCTTCCCACGGAGGCCAAAAAAACGTCATTAAATTATGGGTTCTGTAATTTAAAAAACATTTTAGCTTTTGTTGGTTATACATTCGTTCATCTTCTTGAATAGTTCATATAAACTCAATTACTTGTGTTTAAATAGAGTTTTGTTTTTGCTATATCATCACTAAATAGAAATAAATTGCTAAATATCTATATTGGGTATGATATTTTTAACGCACAGATTTTGTGTTTTCCTTTTGGGATAATCCCATAAAATGATAAAACTATCAACAAGTTTAACAGAAAAACAGCAAAACCTAAGAAAAAGTACAAGTAATATCTCTTTTATGTTTCATCGTTTCTTTGTAACACGACACAGAACCAATTTTTACGAATTCTACGAGTGGATAGTAATGGTTGTAATTTAAGCTAATACAGTTTAGCTAATTAAAGCTAATTCATGAAGATTCTGAAAATTATTTGGGCCTGACAATTTTTATGAAAGCAATTTGACTTAGATCAAAAACTATATGAGCCTGACAATTTCTCGTAAAGAAGAAAGTAAATCCCAATATGAAACATTGATATGAAAGATAACATAAACAAGAGTGTGTTCCCTAAATTTCAAAATCTCATAGTAAGTTGTAACCCATCAAAAACTTGCGAAAACAGATGTAAAGATCCATTGTCATAGAATAATGCAGCAATAAAAATGGTTGTTCATGATGGACTTTGACCAGCTTTATGCTTCCTTAAGCCACAAGAGTGCTTGCGGTGGTAGACTCGCTGCAAAAACAACAAAAAGAAATGAGAAGACAGAATTCAAAGAAAGATGATCATTTTAAGTGTTTAAGAAACTGTTTAAATCAAAGTACTTACTACTTCCAGACGGGAGGGAGCTTCTTGGTCTTCTTGTAGTAACGAGCAAGACGGTGGATTCTGCTCTCAACAAGAATCAACCTAAATTTGGAATCCTTGTCTTTCCTGTTCCTCTCAAGGTGCTTGCGGATAGCAACTGCTTTCTTGATCAGGTGATACAGATCCTCCGGGATCTCAGGAGCAAGACCTTCAGGTAATTACAGATCAAGTCTTAGTTTCCTCGGACATTTAGTTATGTAAACAAAAATAACTAAAGGCGAGGGATAAAAATCAAAGTACCATGAGCTTTCAAAATTCTCAAAATTTTGTTTCCGGTAACACTCTTGACCTGTGGAATTCCGTGAGAGTCACGAAGAATGACACCAATCTGAGATGGAGTCAGACCCTTCTTCGCAAACTTGCAAATGGACTCATCAACCTATGATGTTCATCAAAGCAAACGTCAAGACGAATCACAGTAAACACATTCTTCACATGGAGAGAGACGAGCAATAATTAATCATAGACAGTATACTCATCAAGATACAAAATCCACAAAATTAACTCTCACATCAAGCTCGTAACTTCATAGTAGATCTTTCCAACTAGTAAGGTTAATGAATCTCTCAAAAAACGCTCAGCAATAATTTGACACATCCATGACTGTTAAAACGAGGTTCTCCAAAGCTACATCACTTCTAATTCCTAAATACAGATGTTTCTAACCTTCGAAATTTCTTATCCTAAACTAGGTGGCATCAACATTTCGAACAAATCTAAAAACGAAAACCAAATAGAAATTTAGAATATAGTCTACGAATCTTACATCCTGGGCAGTAGTCTTGAGCCAACTCGGGGGTGACCTCTTATACGGCAAAGCAGATGCTGAGATTCCCTTACTACAGAACACAAAACAGATACGATGAATGTAAGAGAACGAGTTTTCAAATAATTCTCAATAGAATACAACGAAGAGACAAACCGACTAACCCTCTACTGTGCATACGCCCCATGACGACGAAGGTGAACGGAGCGACCTTGTTCTGAGATCGTTTTTCTTCGGTTAATTCCGGCTGCGACTGCGCTAAAGAGAATCCAAAACCCTAGTTGCTCTTTCTTTATATAGTCTCTTATGGTCGTTGCCACATTTCATTTTAGATCCACAAGTCCTCGCAGGCCTTGTTTATAACAGTTCCATTAAAAATGAAAATCATGCAAATGGAGGCATTTAGTTTGGCCCATCTATAAACCCCCATATAAACGACGCCGTTGCAAAAGATTGACATGTCTTGACATAGAGAAATAATGCCTTAATATTTTTTTCTTGAAAAGTGGATGCATAACAATTGTTATTATTTTATTTTTTGTGATGCACAACAATTACGTCCAAATATTATGATTTCATTGTAATCATAAACCTCATTTATTTGTGATAGATTTTTTTTTTTTAAGATTGTGATAGATTACAAAGAGAGGATTTATTGACTTTAACAAAAAAAAGAGAGGATTTATTGAGAACTAATCTGTGTTTTATTGTATAAAATGTTTACTTGGTTTTGTTTTTTATACAAATCGACTTGAAGCAACCGGATTCTAAAACCCCCAAAAAAAAAACATCAGTTTATACGATACGGATTGCCAATATCATATCAACATATTCAGATTACAAATTTACATTTAACAGACGATACATAGAAATTTGCTTTTCTTTTTTTACGGCCGACACGCAAAAGATCCTCTTAAACAAATCGAATAAAAAACATTAAATCTTTTGCACTTTATAGAATTTAAACCCTAGACGGTTAGACCTAAAGAAATAACGTCTCGTTTAAGTTAAAGGCTATTGAAAATAAAGTTTTTTTTTTTTTTTTTTTTTGGTAAAATGAAAATAAAGCTGAGAATCCCAAATTAAGGAGGGGTAATAAATGGGAGTAAAAGAGAATGAAGACACGTGATGATTGGGTTAAACAAATGTCAACGCTAAGTCCATCCTTAAAGCCAAACCTCACCCATTTATTAACCAAACTGCCTAACGATCGATCTTGTCATCACCTGCCTCCTTCATCAACTTCCCTTATATATATACCTACATATAGAGAGACATTTCTTCTCCCTAAAGAAAACACATTTAAGTTTTCATCGAAATAGATAGAGAAAAAAAAATAAAAGAAAACAAGATTATGATCATGAAGCTCGTCTGGTCGCCGGAAACAGCCTCTAACGCTTACATCCACACCGTTAGAACCGTAAGAATACTCCAAGTACTGGTGCATATTTGTTATACCATCTTCAGATTGATCTAGATTAGATTTCTTAAAAGAACTTCTTGAATTTGTATATGAATTATACTATAATAGTTATTACGATATCCTGCTGTTGTTTGAAACGATCTTTTTTTTTTATATGTGATTGTTGTTGAGACTTTCTTGATGTATATCAGTATATGGAATCTTCATCTTATTTTTCAATCTCTATATATATATGTGTTTCTTGAAGTGTAAACACTACAAAGAATCGAGTGCGGCAGAGTATTTATCGGCCACGGCGGCGGGATGGAACACGAGGATGATCGTCGAGACTTGGACACGTGGAGATCCGATCGCCACCAGCGTTGGACTCGCCGTGGCGGCCATTCACACGTGCGGAAAACACGTGTGCATAGTTCCCGACGAGGAGTCGAGGTCGGAGTACGAGGCGGTGATGAAAGGCGCTGTTACTAGTGAAGCTACGGAGGTTTTGATAGGAGAATCGGCGGAGAACTTGGTGGAGAGACTCTCCGGCGTTGATTTCATGGTGGTGGATTCGAAACGCCGCGAGTTCGTTAAGGCTTTGGGATCAGCGAACACGAGCAAAAGGGGTGCCGTTTTAGTGTGCAAAAACGCCACACAGAAATCTATCCCTGGATTCAAATGGCACGGTGTTTTGAGACGAGGCACACGTGTCGTGCGATCGGTGTTTTTACCCGTTGGGAGAGGATTAGATATCGCACACGTTGGAGCCAGTGGAGGTGGTGATTTGATGAAGCTTCCTAGCCGTTGGATTAAACACATCGATCCTCGATCTGGAGAGGAGCATTTGTTCAAGCGTTAATAAAAAGACCATGAAACTATAAAGAAGATTTAAAAGTTCCTTTTTAATATAATACGCGTTAATGGCCATCAGATCGCCGGTGTTGTATGCAAGAGCGTTGATTGGGATCTTAATCTCTTGTTCGTGTATTTTTCTAGAATTTCTTTAAGTTCCCTTATAACTTTGACAATCTCAAAGTATTGACTACTGATGGATCCAGAAAGCTTCACCTGCAAAATACACAACCATGTCACTCAAAAACTCTGGAGCAAACATTCCAAATGTGTAAATCAAAACATTTCCACCAGGAAGTCCACCATTGGCGTTAACTTGAACAGAAAACAGTTAGTATCTAATGTATATTCAACATCTGCAAAAGACATCATCATCTGCTATTCACCGATGATTTAATTGAGTATGGTCTGAATCAAATTCTCCAACGTATTCTGAAAAGTCAGCCATATTCGCGATCTACAAAAGAAAAAATAGATCTTTGAGATCAAAACAAAAAACAACAATCGGCTTTGTATTTTTAGAGAATCAACAATAACAAATTGCACAAACAAAACAAGCAAATATTTGTTTTTAATTTGTTGTATTTTGATTAGTAAATTATTACATTCATCAAACAAACTAATTTATGTATCTAGATCACATTATTTTGAAGTTCTTCGAGACATGTCACTTGTACGTCTAGATCCTTCATCATTATCTCCATTGTTTTGCAGTTATGAGTGAGTGAACAAGTTTTGTTTTGCAAGGTATGTGTGGGGTGGGCGTTTCACTCTTGCATCGAGATGCTTCACCACTGGGTCCATTTTTTGTTGTTGCAGTTGTGATGAGTGTGTGAGCGAGCAAGTTTAAATACTAGCTTGTTGAACTTAGAGAACAAAAGACTAAAGCTGAATGCTTCGATGATTTTATTAGATGATAAGCTTGGCTTTAAATAGTCCAAGATGAAGACTTAGTCTTCTTACATAACAAGAAACAGAAATTGCAGGAAACAGAAATAAACGTGAACGAAAAACTAGGACAACACTTTGACTCCTTAAACATCGGAGTCCATTATTCACTAAATCAAACCCAACAATGCCTCTCCTAAACTGAAAACGATAGCTTTCAGTTTACCCTTTTGCACACTCTAAGCTTCTCCCTCAATCGAACGAACACCTCCAAACGCAATGGTTTCGTTAATATGTCTGCAATCTGCTCGTTTGTTCCACAATGAACAAGCTTAACAACACCATCCTTAGTTAGATCTCTCAAGAAATGAAACCTGACATCAATATGTTTGCTCCGACCGTGAAGAACAGGATTCTTTGACAACTTAATGGCAGAACTGTTATCACACATAATTGTTGTGCTCCCTGATTGAATTAGCCCAAACTCTTCTAAGATTCTCCTCATCCAGACACATTGACAAGCACAATAGGCTGCTGCAACGAACTCAGCCTCTGTTGTTGATAACGTTACCACCGGCTGCTTCTTTGACGCCCAAGCTACAGCTCCACCACTTAAAAGAAACACATAGCCACTTGTGCTTTTTCTATCATCGATATCACCAGCGTAATCACTGTCTGTATAGACAGTTAGCTCCCTGACAGCTCCTCTTCTGTAAAACACACCAAATCCCAAAGTACCTTTTAAATAACGCAAGACTCTTTTTGCTGCCTGCATATGTTGTTCAGTTGGATCCGCCATGTATCTGCTCAATAAACACACCGAATACATCATGTCTGGCCTCGTTGATGTTATGTACATCAAACTTCCGATCAGTTGTTTATACAACGTTGGATCCACCCTCTTTCCTTCTCCATCCTTCGAAAGTCTTGTTCCAGGTACAATCGGATTCTTGACCTCATTTCCACATAGTAGATTAAATCTTTCCAAGATTTCTCCAGCATATTTCTTTTGGTGAATGAAAATCCCATCTGCATCTTGAATTACTTCAACACCTAAGAAATATTTCATTCTTCCCAAGTCTGTCATATCAAATTCCCTCTTCATGGATGATTTAAAATTTTCAAGCAACACCACATCATTCCCCGTGAAAATTAAATCATCCACATAAAGAGATACAATCAGAAGCTTGTTACCTTCACCGACTTTTATGAACAGAGTATGTTCATATTCACACCGCTGGAACCCTTCTTTGGTAAAGTAAGCCTCGATTCTGCTATACCAAGCACGAGGTGCTTGTTTCAATCCATAGAGAGCCTTCACGAGCTTGTAAACTTTGTGTTCCTCTCCCCTTTTCACGTATCCTTGCGGTTGCTCTACGTAAACATCTTCAGAAATTTCACCGTGTAAGAAGGCGCTTTTCACATCTAGTTGAAATATACACCATCCTTCTTGAGCAGCCAGAGCCAAAATCATTCGTATCGTGTCCCATCGTGCCACCGGAGCGAACACCTCATCATAATCCACGCCTTGTTTTTGAGCATAACCCTTGGCCACAAGCCTAGCCTTGTATTTTTCAACTTCTCCCTTCTCGTTAAGCTTTGTTTTGTAGACCCACTTTACACCAATTCGTTTTGCTCCTTTTGGTAACTCGGTGAGAAACCACGTTCTGTTCTTCTCTATCGATTCCAGCTCACTCTCCATGGCCTTTATCCACTTAACATCTCCTGTGGCTTCATCATACGTGACTGGATCAGCAACCTCACCAAACATGACAAAATTTGTTGAGTCTTCTTCCTCTTCTTCTTCAGATAACTCCTCTCCAGTCACGTAATCCTGTAAATAAACAGGTTGTCTTCGAGTTCGTTGAAGAAGAGAGTTTTGAGGCGTTACCGGTGATCCTTCAACGGCTGTTTGGTGCGATGGTGGATCATGAGTTGGTTCTTCTCCATTTGGCTCTGTGTCAGACTCGGAATCCTCCTAAATCAGCATATCATTATTTATTTCTCCTCCCTTTTCTGTCCAATTCCACCCTTTCTCTTCTTCAAACACAACGTCTCGGCTTGTTACAACTTTTTCTGTGGCTGGATCATAAAGTCTGTATCCCTTTGATTCGCTGCTCACTCCAATAAGAACACATGTGATGCTTTTGTCATCCAATTTCTTTCTCCTCTGATCTGGAACATGAACATGCCCCAAACATCCAAAAACTCTAAAGTAATCCACCGTAGGTTTTACACCACTCCACATTTCTTCTGGCGTTTTCTCCTTCAAAACAGAGATTGGACTTCTGTTTAATACATGAACGGCCCATTTAGCTGCTTCAGGCCAGAAACGCTTGGGGACTCCTTTATCATTCAGCACACATCGCACCATATTCATAATTGTGCGATTCTTGCGTTCTGCGATTCCGTTTTGCTGCGGCGTGAAAGAGGTTGTGAGCTGTCTTTTTATTCCCTTTTCTTCGCAGAAGCTTTTGAATTCGTTTGATAGGTATTCTCCTCCTCTGTCCGTTCTTAAGCAGATCAAAGCTTCTCCGGTTTCTCTCTCCACTTGACTTTTGAAACTCGTGAACGATCCAAACGTCTCTGATTTGTACGACAAGAAATATATCCAAACTTTTCTGCTGTAATCGTCGATGAACGTAAGGATATATTTCTTACCGCTGTTTGATGCTGGAGAGATGGGACCGCAGAGATCCGAGTGTATCAGTTCTAGTCTCCGTGTTGAACGCCACGTACTCTTCTTCGGAATACTTTCCCGATGTTGTTTTCCCACTAAGCAGCTTGCACACTTCCCTGCTTCCTCCGTTGGCTTTAGATGTGGTAATCCCTTCACCATATTCAGATATTTCAGAGTTCTCAAGCCTTTATAATTTAGATGTCCATACCTTCGATGCCAGAGCTGAAACTCATCCGTTGTCACTGTTTGTAAGCACTTCGTCACCGTTTTCATGGGATTTTTGGTCGCCATGATCTTAAACAGCCTATTTGTTGTCATCTTTGACTCAATAATCAGACCCATCTTCGGATGATACAGCTTGCAGGTTCGTTTTTTCATCAACACTTCACATTCTTTCTCAAGGAGCTGCCCGATACTGAAGAGATTTGTTTTCAGATCAGGTACATAATACACATCAGCGATTGTGAGTGATCTTCCATTCACCTGCACACTCACGTTTCCTTTTCCCATCACCTTCAATTGATAGTTGTTTCCCAGCTTTACTGAATGACGAAATTCTTCATCAAGTGTGAAAAACCAGGATTTGTTTCCACACATATGATTGCTGCAACCCGAATCCAGGAACCATACGTCTTCGCCTTTCTCATTTCCTGTGAGAACCATCAGCAATGCTTCATCTTCAGTGAAAGCCATCAGCAACATGTCTTCTTCTTCATCATTTGCTTCAGCATAGTTGGCTTTCTCATCCCAGCTTGGACATTCATTTTGAAAATGTCCAAGTTTGTGGCAGTTATAGCATTCGATGGTGGATTTATCGAAGCTTCTTCCTCCTCTGCCACGACCTCTTCCTCTGCTCATTCTTCCTCTGCCTCGGCCCCTTCCTCCATTATGAGAAACATTTAGTGCTTGATCTTCTCCAACGGCGCTTGGTTTCTTCATCTTTGATTCATGCACCAGTAGTGAACTCTGCAGAGCATCGACAGTGAGGTTGTCGATGTCTTTGGACTCCTCAATTGAACACACAATGTAATTAAAGCTTTCCGTTAAGGTGCGCAGAATCTTCTCCACTATTTTCACGTCCGGCATATCATCTCCGCAGTTTCTCATATCATTAGCTACCACCATTACCCTTGAAACATAATCGTTGATGGATTCTCCAACCTTCATCTCCAACAGCTCAAAGGTTCTCCTTAATGTTTGTAGCTGAGCACGCTTCACTCTCGCGTTTCCTTGGTATTTGATTCTCATCGAGTCCCACAATTGCTTTGATGTATCCTTTAGCGTGATTGTTTTGAGAATGGATTTGTCAATCACGCTAAAGAGATAGTTTTTGGCTTTTAAATCCTTCAATCTCGCATCGTTGAGAACCTTCTTCTGTGCTTCAGTAAGCGTTTCCTCATTCTCTGGCTCACTGACTCCATCTCTCACCACCACGAAGTATTCTTTTGATCTTAGGAGATTCTCCATGAGAAGACTCCAGTGATCATAGTCCCCATCAAATTTCGGAATACTTGGTTGGGAAAAATTGCTTGA